GTGTGGTGAGAAAGAGAAAAATCAGAACTCATGGGAATAGGTTTAGTGGTCTCAGCAGAATGAGCAAAAGGAGGTGTCTCATCAGTCATGGTGATAGGTTTGAAAGACATACAAAGTCACAGCAATACAGTCAAGCAAAAATAAAATGAAAGCAAGAGGCCGAAAAAAACTCAATGGCTTATCCAATTAAATGCGATCAAATAAAGCCAATAGCCTACTCTACAAACAAGAGCGAAAAAGTGCTCAACACATTAACTTGGAGCACCCAAATAAGGAAAAATGGTATAACAAACCCTAGGGACATGACCGAACTAGTCTTATTCACTTAAGAGACTAGTCGGCACTCACATAGCCCTCGGCAGGGGTTTCTAGGGACTGTCAAGGGTTAAGGAAGAGGGGATGTCGGTTGGTGGGTAGTGGCTGGAAAAAGGGTTTAGGTAGTGGTTGGTTAAGAGAGAGAGAGAGAGAGAGAGAGGGGGAAAGAGGGTGGCTAGGGTTTTTTAGGCTCTGATACCAAGAAGAATAAAAGAATGAATTAGCTTAATCTCAATTGAGGTCAGCCCATGAACATGTAGATCAATATGTACAATATTAGGAAACCGTACACGATAGGAGATAACGTAAAAAAGGAAATAAAATTATGGCCTAAACAATGACCATAACAAAAAAGAGTTCCTACTCTAAAATATTTTATATACTATATTTCAACATTCTCTGGCCATATAAGCCGAATTCAAAGTCGAGAGAATGGTTCAATCCGCTTTTGATTAAAAACAAAATCATTTTGCTCCTTCTAGATGAACCAACCAGTCCAAGCTATTGTGCTAAACAAATTATTACAATCCACACTATTCTCAAGGTGATCCATCATTTCAAAACTGACTGAATAGATTTGCTAGTAACTTTGTAGCCATACTCACATCCAAACCAAGCATCTTTGACCCAGTTACACCCAAACCAAACCACTCTGACCCAGCCATACTCACATCATTCTACGTTCTTATGACAAATCTGGCATTGATCTGAGATGGCACATTTCTGCTGGTGAAGGTTATCCTTTGTAGGTAGCATATTTTTGCACACTCTCTACCAGAAATGGCAGATTTTCGGAGGAATATTTAGGGACCAAATATATTTTCAAAACTGATTTAGGGTTGGAAAGATGATGATGGCCTCTGAGCTAAACTCCTTTCTATCACTTTTCCTGCTATGTGGTAGCCTGTCTTCATTGAATAATGGCCTTTAGCCTCTAAAAGTGTACCAAAATACCAATTGCCGCAAGGCACAAGATCATATTCACTTTTCATACCGATAATGATAGCAACAAAGAATCAATTGATATCACCAATTTCTTTTATTAAATTTGTGACTCTTATGTCTTTCATTTTTATTATAAATATGATGTAGATATCTGTAGGAGAGAAGTTAGGTTTATTATGTTTGGTTTCAGTTTTCTAGAAATTGAGTTTTTGTATTTTATATATATATTTTTTTGTTTTTAGTGAATATTCTTAAAATTTTAAGTAATTTTTTTACTTTTTTAGATGCATCTTATTTACATGTATCTAAATAGTAAAACATTTGTGAAAAAATATTTTTAAAATTAATAAATACACAAAATACTAAAAATTTACTAAATTTTCATTTTTTTAATATATTTTTGATATTTAGCGAATTTTTTAAAGATTTTTTTTATAAATATTATACTTTTTAAGCGTATTTATGTTAGATGTATCTAAAAATTAAAAAAAAAATTACTTAAAATATTAAAAAAAATTTAGTTAAAAAAGAATGGAAAACAAAAAAAAGAATTTTCTAAAAAGTGAATTTATGAAAACTGAAACCAAACAAGTTTAATATTTTATTTTTAATTCTTTTCCATTCATATTGTTGGAGAGTGCTCCAATTATTGAAGCAGAAGGGAGAATTTATGTATTTTGAATTAAAATTTTATTATGAACATATTATGCTAATTTATTTGTTAGGGTTATGATGAAACATATTTAATTATTTATAATTATTCATGCAAATTAATTTCTTCAATAAAAATATATGTTTTAATTGAATAAAAGTTTCTTTTGTCATTCGTCCATTTTTAATTGAAAATAATTAAAATTGAATAAATAAAAAGAACTTTTATGATTATATCATTCGCAACGAATAATATTTTGTTTATTTGATCAAATTCTTTTTGATATTTGTATGTTTTTTCATTTCTATTAAAAATCATATAATTGTTCAGTTGGATTATGTAATTTAGTTTTAAATTAATTAATTATTTTTTACCATCAAATTCCTTGGGTTGGACCTTATTCTTACCTTATTTTTATTCCAATAGATTCATGCACTTGAGAGTAATCAAAATTAATACATCACCCCAAACCCAAAATAAATAATGAAAAGTTTAAAAAAATATCACTAATGTCATTTTTGTGCAAATATAACTTGAAAAGTATTGAAAACAACTTTCTAATATTTCCTAAAATGTGAATCTGTTTTCATTTCTTTTTTTTAATAATTTGTCAAACAAGTCTGTGTTTTATAGGAAATGAAAACACAGGAAACAAACAAATAAAACAAAATACTAAAAATTTGAAAGGAAATTTGATCAAAACATCCTCATAATTAAATTTTAATGTATTAAGAATAAGAACAAAAAAAATATTGAAAAGTCCAACACACACCCCTATACCAAAATATCCTTAGTGTGTAATTTAGTATTTCAACTTTCAAAATGATTAACTTTTGATTTAAATGTCGTTTTTTTTTAAAAAAAATAATATTTTTAGAATTTTCTCATCAAAATTTATCAAACAAGATCAAGGTTGACTATGAAATTTATGAGAAAAAAAAATTGTTGAAATTAACGTAAATAGTAACATTTTACTCTATTTCATACTAAAATATTCGTAACTACAAGAGTAACATTTTACTGTCTTCTTGAATAGGGAGAGCATCAGTAACAAAAAAGAAAAAAAAAAGTAGGAATTGAAGGAAGTTCACAAACAAATTAACAACAATCAATAAACAACAATTCAAATCAACAACAATTTAATGTACATGAAGGAAGGTTTACAAACAACAATCAACAACCAACAACCAACAAACTCAACAAATTTATATATTTGATCAACAAATTCAACATAGCTAATTGAATTCAAACAACAATCAAACAAGTCAAACTCTCAAAATCTGATACAACTGAATGAAACTCTGCAAACTAGAGGTGCCTTCATGTTTTGCACTGCAAGTATCACATAAGGACATAGCTGGCTTTTGAAGAGATAACAACTAGTGTTTGCTACTTCTGTGCTCAATCCTCTGTTGAATACTACGTACTATCGAAGCACACTTCATGTTAACACCGAAATTGCATGGGAAGCAATGGTACATGAATCTGTTGCAATTTTCTAAGTAGACAAAAGCAATATTGAAAATTGAATCCCGCTATAAGTAGTTCAACAATACTCAATCGCCATGGGAAGGAAGAAATATGGCAAACCATTAAAATTTCTATACAAAATTTTGCTTCCTCATATGATATTGACATACTTATAAATTATAATTACAATCGTAACTGTAATCATTTTAAATAGGACCACAACAACAAGCTATATCGTTTTATATAATAATTTCATACAAAATTTCTGTTTTAGATAATAATTTCATACAAATTTTCTGTTTGTATATGTGTGGCGATCGACTTGTATTTCAGATTTTGAAGATAATCAGCATTGTATCAGATGAATTTGACTGGTACAATTTTTTTTCTAGTACGGCACCATCTATGAAACATGGATATTGGTACCATATATAAGTACATAAATACAGTAAACTCTCAAAAAATTAAAATCCGGGTCTGATTTGATACATTTATAAAAAAAATATTTATTTTTAATTTAAAATAATACAAAAATTAGTTAAGATTCAACCAACTGTCCATATTTAATTTAAAAAATAAGAAATTAATTAAAATTAAATGTTATTATATTAAATAATTTAAAAACTTAAAAATAATATTATGACCATGCTAATGAAACTAATTTCACCCTTTCATAGAAGAAAAATATTATTCTAGCTTTCTTATTAAAAATATTATTGTAGCCTAGGTAGGTACTTTGCCGCATGACAAAAATTAAGGGAAAAAAAAAATTAAATGTCTCGTATATCTTATACATATACCTTGCGGAGGTTTTTATGAATTTGGAGATGCTGCTGCGTAGGGTGTGCAATAATATCTGTTGTGCGGCAAAATGAACCCATTTCAGGATTCATTTTGATAATCCGAACCATTCACATTTTAAAATATATTAAGTAAAACATGCTTGTAAAAAATCAAATTAATCGAATATCGTTTACCTATTCATCTACTCACATTTATATTCATTTTAATACTTTAAATCACAATTATTATTTATTTTTATAGATAGAAATGTTAGTGGATAAATGAATAAATAATATCAAATTAACTTGATTTTTTAAAAACGTATTCTACTTGATGTATTTTAAAATGTGAACGGTTCGAATTATCGAAATGAGCTCTAATTTCGTCACACAACAGATACTGCTGCGCACCCCATGCAACAGCATCGCCAATCTTGATTTTTATAGGCCAGAAAGAGAAACAAAACAACACCTATCCTATCCTACAACCATGATTAGACAATTGCGCAACATAATGGTAATATTTTCAAGAAAGTTTTTGTTTATTTATTTATTTATTTATTTGTATTTTCCAGCATTTCATATGATGGGAAATGGAAACGAAACTTAATAGACACGTTTTTCGTCGTCAACAAAAAATCAAACTTACTTGAACAAAAAAAGCAATTATCACCTTTGAAAGGTGAAAAATATTTCCTGCAGTAACCTCTTACCAACACCACCACACCACCACCACCCCACCAACGCCACCACCACAACCACCTCCACACCAACACAACTACTAGCATATTAGTTTTGGCCGCAACCAAATAAAGGAAGACAAAGCGACAATGCATCAATGAAACTATAGACTATGTCAAACAAACATAATAAAACACGTCATAGACATAATGCATATATAAATTTCACCCTGCTAGAAGAGCAAGGTTCCTCCCAGGGGGATCTGGAGGCACATCCTACCCTTTTCTCCTGTTCAGTTACATGGTTGTAGACAATATTAATATAAGGTTGTTGCACACCCACATAGAGTTGATAAAAGTCCCCGTTAGAACATAGGAGTTGGTTTTCATGTAACCACGGCTACTGCCATAGCCCACGCTTTAATTTTTAGGACCAATGTCCTTTAGGGCACAGATTTGCTCTTCTCCCATTGCAGACATGACAGTCACCACAAGGTCCTTTCCTTCACCGAATCCATCCTTAATCTACACAAAACAAAATAAAAGAAAAAAATTCATTATCTGGCAAACGGGCAGGTTTGGGTAGGTTTAAAATAACCCAATCATTTGATAAACGTGTTTAAGCAGGTTGGCTTGAATTGAACGAATCAACCTGACCAACCTGTTTATTGAACCCTTTTTCAAATGGATGATGGACGGGGTTGGGTGGTGGGCGTGGGGGTGGTAGTGGTAAAACAAAAGTTCAAAACAGAAGTTCATTCTATTCTGTGTGGATGGAATATATAAAGAATCAAACAACCAACAACACAATGTACTAAAAAAGTTGAACAATATACCTGGGTGAGCAGAGCATCATCAGTGGGGAGTCTCAAATCATCCTTGGTATTTCCATTTTCAGTCAAAAGACTCACCTAAACAAAATGCAAATTCAGTTGCTTTACAATTAAAAGACTCAAACCACCAAATTCAAGCATGGTTCCCTTGAGTTGAAGCAAGAAATGTGTTTGTTCATGCAAATGTTGCACCACACAAACTTCTTGTCAGAAATTAGTTCAAACCAGAAAGGTTTAGCTTTCTCAGCAGTCAAACATGTATCAAATGTGATAAAATCACAGACAGTCGTTGTATCCCTTCAGATTAAAAAGATGCACTAGAATGGAAACCATATGGGTCCACCATATTAAAATCTCATGTACAGAAATCTCATTAAGGAAATAATTAAAAGAAGAATGTTCTGTTCTGTCACTTGGGCAATGATTTGACAGAGTTCACCGTTTATGGCACCACATTTTCCATGAACCAAATCTTATTGTTGAACCATAAAAGAAGAGTTAGATAACTCACAAAACCATCTTCGGAGATGTCAATCAGCTGATAGTCAGTACGATTAACATGGGGAACCTGAGAAAAAAAGGCAAATAATTAAATGAATTTTGTTAAGATGCTTAAAAGGATTGTACATTTTGCATGAAAATGCGTGTATTAAAAAATGTACAATCTTTTAAACCTTCTTAATATGAGCCCTAAGGGCCCAAGTTAACATGATCCTATATAATATGCATGACCAAAAAGTCAGCTAGAGAAATGAGGATAGAATTCCATAATATGTTCTTGCAAGTATAAGTGCCTATACAAAAGTTAAAAACAGAAGCAACAGAAGAAAATAACAAAAGCACAGCATTACATCACAATTGTGGGATGAAGGGACAATATCTTCAAGCTTCTTTCCATTAAAGATATCAATTGCAACAAAGTGGCACTTTGCATGTCCATGTTTGCCTGTTTTTGAGGTGGAGACCTCCACAACCTGTTTGGAGAACAGAAACAAGCAAATAGGTTACAAAAGAAAGCTGGATTGTTCTCAAACCTACAATAGTATAGTACAATAAGATATAAAGAGAAAGAAAGCTATAAAGAGAGATATTTTCTCTTGTAAGTTCCTAAACAAAACAGCATGGTACAATAAAATGGTAGAGTGACCATTTATTTTAAGCAAGAAAACAGTAACATCAGTATGCAAATATGAGCAGCCCAACAACATGCATTCACCATAGACTTGCCAACAAGCTAGACAATGAGTAACCTGATTGGCTCTATGTTACCTAGGAGGTGGATCTTTCTGGTACAAGGAATATGAATGTGGTGCGCTACATGCTCTAAAATGTGGTATGATAGGATAGACTTCTTAATTGACATCCAATATACAAGTGCATTTTTCTTCATCTTAATCATTCAACCACAGAGTGCTATGAGCATTACGATCCATTGTTTTGCATTTCATCAATCCACAACTTCACTCCATCTAGATTTTAGTTCATTATATTTGACTTTTTCCTTAATAAAAAAAAAAATTATGAGATTGCTTTGGATCGCTAAATTCACCGTTTCAGAACAAAAAGTGTACGATATTTCGGAATGTGCATTCCAAAATGTAAATAGCTAGGATGTTGGCATTTTCTGGTAACATTGGCATGTAACCTCAACACTCCTAAATATTTTGCAAGACATTTTCCACAATATAGATTCAGAGGAGAATGCTGTATTTAAAAGGAATTATTCCTAGAAGAGAGAAAAAAGAGCAAATGCAATATCAGTTTTTAAAATGCATCCTTCCCTCCTACTCTTGAAACATAGTCAATTAAATAAAACACTCTGGATAATTTTCATTTTTCTTTTTACCCTTTCACAGCAAGTGATAGTTACGGAAATTCCAAATGAAATATAGAAGACATTCATTATTCTCTCATCAAGCAGTATATTTGAAATGCACCAGTTTTCTTTACCTCCAGTATGTCCTACTCTTTGATGCTGTCCTGGGATTAAATACTCAACATAATAAAACACGAATTTGACATAAGTAACAGATTTGTGGTGCGGGAGCAAGAGCACTTTTTGTTAAAATAAGTTCAGAGGGAGCATTATTTTCATATTTGTAAATATATAAATAGAATATATATATATATGTGTGTTTGTGTGTGTGAATATAATCATTTAAATAAATTTTAATGCATCAATTTCTTTGTTACTAACTGCGTTACTCAGAGTCTGGGAATGATAAATATGATGTATGTATAATAGTATGTTGTAAAGGGTAATAAATAAATAAAACGGAATAATATTAACGAGTAGCTGCTTTGGTCCAGCAGTTGAAGGCGGACTTGTACTAGAAGAGGTCTCAGGTTTGAGACTTCCAACATGCAAAGTACATATTTTCTTACAATTTTGAGATGGGATGGGCTATGATGTGGTTAAGACTGCATGAAACTGTACACGTGACTGACTATCATTTGTTCAAAACCAATTCGCTAGCGAACCAGAGTCTTTGACTAGGAAAATCTGCAAGTTCGACCGAATTTCATCAATTCGCAGATTGGCAAACTGAATAGCAGACTCCCAAATAAGTTCTTAAAGCCTAAGACTTCACCCTAAAAAGCAAGACCCATGACTCAAAGATAACATTTAGGAGGAGCATATCTATGTGTGACACTATGTCTCACATGACACTAATACCAAAAATGTGTCAGAAACAAATATATCTGATCAAAGATTTTCAAAAAGCAAGCCGAGCAAGCCAAAAAAAACACACACACACTTTCAAATAGAAAAACAGAGAAGAAAAATATAAATAGGGCAAATCAGTCACAAAAAAAATATGAAGGTGCAGAATATGGACCTAGTCTCTTAAATTTTAAAAAGTGAGGGAACTCATTAAAATAATTTTTTACATGGATGTAGTTTCAGCATGCTTTGGGGTTTACACTCTTTAAGCTATCAGATAGACATGCTGTGTGGGTGATTGAATCATTCAAGAGGGCAAAAGTGCAAACACAAGGTGTTTGTCTTGTATGTCATATGGGCATGTCCTTAGTTGCACGAAGCGAGAGCGGGGGCGGGAGCGGGAGCGGAGAATCGTGAGCCGATAGAAGTTTCTTAGGTTGGGAGCGTCTCACCTCCCATAAGCGTACCCAAAGATCAAATCATCAAGACCTTAGTTGCACGAAGCGGGAGCGGGAGCGGGAGCGGGGGAACGTGACCACTTAGAGGAGTCGTAAATTAGGAGCGCTTACATATTATAAATAAAAAATTATAATAAATAAGAAATAATAAATTATGTTAAAATAAATAAAAAGAAAAATTAGATAATTTATTTTATAATTTTTTTATTATATATGGTTTAATTAGATTTCTTTTAAATAATTGGATGATTTATTTTATTTATTATATGTTAAAAAGTTAAGAAATAATAATTTACAAAAATTATTATTATATATGATATTTTAAGAAATAATAATTAAATATTTTTTTATTACATATATAATATATGATAAAATATATTTATTATATATATTATATATCTAGACGAAGAGAGAGAGAGAGTTCAGAGAACAACGAACAGAAACAGAGATGAAGAGGGAGAGAAGCGGAGACGAAGAGAGAGAGAGAGAGAAGCTCAGAGAGAGTGACGAAGACGATCGCAAGAGTGACGAAGATGATTGAAGCCCTTTCTCCGCTCATGTCGACGTCGAAGGTTAGGGCTTCTCTCTCTCTCTCTCTCTCTTCCCTTTACGATCCCATCTTGGACAGAATCGCGTTTCTCTCTCCACAGAAACGCGATTCTTACACGTTTCTTTCTAAGAATCGCGGAATCGCGATTCTTACTGAGAATCGCCACAAAGTTGCACGATTCCTGCAACTAAGGGCGTGTCATGTGTATATTATAATATTTTTATGCCACATGAGGTGCCTTGTGATTCAATGTGTCTCACTTGTGTGAGCATGTCTAGTTTTTAACTATGCAAGCCACACTTCTTTTTCAGCCATTTTTGTTTCAGAATATGATGATTTGAGGGAAGTAACATTCCATTAAGAAGTGTAACCCTCCCCCAGTCAGGAAAGCATCAGAACTGGAGAATCAACAGATTCGGAAGTTACCCTGGAGAATGGAAACATTCAGAAGGTACCACTGACAATATAAGGAAAAAAAAAAATGACTCAAAAATTCGTATAGAAAATACTATTTCTAACTAAAGATAATTTTTTGAATGAAAAAATATGTTATTTCCATTCTTATGTACAAGAAAATCTGCAATGCTCAGATTGAGAAAGAGAGAGAGAGAGAGAGAAAAAATAGAGTACCTCCCAAAGGAAAAAATTTAGAGGCTAAGATCTAATCTATTTGCATGAAAGGGCACAAGAGAAAGCGGTGAAGATAAGAGAATGGCCATAAATAACTGGATAAGAGACACAACCACGACATAAATGAAAGGTGAAGTGCTACGTACTGAAAGAAAAAGACTTTACTAGAATATCAACAAACCTAACAAGTTAAAACTACGATTAAGAAAAAGAAGAATCACGTGTTTGACCCAAAGGAGAGAGGCCGTCTGATTCTAGGTAGATACCGTGGACGGAGGCTCGGTAGCCGGTGATTGAATCCCACCTACACTACAACTACGAATGTGAAAATGGCATAGTGCAGCTAGCAAATTGCATGCCGGGTCTCAAGGAGTGGGTTCATTCTTGTCAATCTTGCGAGCCCTCGAGTCCCCACTTTAGTTAGGAAGGCATGTGAGTTACTTGATCACTATTCAATTATCCATGTTAAGCATAAAGGTTGTTTTTTTTTTTTTCCAGGTGAAATAAGTCATAAAATAGAACAAAGAGAATTACAGAAAACACAAGGGGAATGACCCAGGACCTAAAATACAAAACAGCAAAGACCTAAAGAGAATCTAAACTACCAGCAACTGAAACTGTACACCTTGCAGAAAAAGAAACTAGATACAAAACAATAAAGAGACAAAAGAAAGCAAAGATAAGAAAAACTAGGACTGGAAAAAGTTGTTCAAGGACCACATAATTTAACAAGAATGGGCGACTTGAGCAGACGCAAAAAGCCTGGACATTACAAAAGAGGCAACAAAGAGAGAAATATCTTACACACCTTGTAAGAGAATGAAAAGGCTTATAGGCCATGAAAGCTAAAAAGAACTGTACAAACCAAAAGACCCTAAAAAACATACAACTGGAAGAAAGAAATGAACAACAGAATATACCATGCAGTGCTTAAAGCAGCATGCACACAGCATAAAGGGTTGGTTCATGATTAAGTATCAACACACCTTGGTGAAATTATTAATTTTCATTTAAAATAAAATATAAAATTTTGAATTTGCTTAATATTTGTATCTAAAAAATAAGAGAAGAAATAAAAGAAATAAATAATCATAAATGCTTGAATTTGCATTCTCTCTTTATAATGTAAACATTAAGGGGACGGATGTAGCCAAGGAATTTTAAACACTCTAATGGACTTTAATGAGTTAACTAGTTTAGTACTAAAGTCCTTGGTAACTCTTTGTTACCTTTAGTGATAGAGGCAATTACTTGGACTACTCTATTCCAAAAGGAGCCAGCAGGGAGTGTTACAACTTAAAAGAGGGAATTATAGTTCATTTTATTTTGAGAGTCTTGCAGATTGTTCGGTGCAGTTTCTACATAGCTTATCAAGCAGAAATAACTTCAATTAGCTAAAAAAGGCTAATTATCTAAAAGTTGGGGGAGAGGTTTAGCTCTAGCTTTCCGATTATTAACTTTTAGCTTCCAATAATCTACACCAAACAAGGCCAGTAAAGAGTGGGGCAACGGATGGATTTGACACAACCGACGTTACATAGATCAACTAGGTAGTTGATTTTTTAGTATGAGTGTTTCCTCGTTTTATTAGGGCATAGGTCCTTTCCTTTCCTCTTCTCTTCTTCACGTGTATAGAATGATGGAATGAATAGAGTTGCATAGCGAATGTTGAAAGCTCCACGTAGAGTTTGGTAGTTGGGCCAGTAAATTGAAGGGTGTTGCCTTTTGTCATGTCTGGAGCTTCATTGTAAATCCTTTTTTTTTTTCCTTCCCATAATAAATAGCTTGCTTACCTTAAAAAGAAAAAAATAAAAAGAAGTAAAGCATCTACAATAGTCACATAACCATTTTCTCTCCTAAAGGTCATCTATTCCACATCGGTAAGCATACCTCACCATTCTTGTTATTTTTTTCAATCTCCATATGCCCAATTTCAATCGTATTTAGCTCCATCGAATTACAATTTTACAGGGCTTATAGTAGTTCAAGATTTGATTTTTGAACAAAGCTTACTTTCGAGATTGTGAAGACTGCTGAAGTAGCCTCGATTAGCATGCGTAGGAAGGACTTGGTTCATGTTGTTACACAAAAGAATGTAACTGCACCAGATTTGGAGTGCTTAGCAAAGAGACCACAATCAGAGTAAGTTATTCAAGTCGCTTATGTCACAGGGTAAGTAAATTTTTTTCACTAAAATCATATTTACCAACTAGCGAGGAGAAGAAAGATTAGGAAAAAAAAAGTTCTACAATGCATTTAAAACTTAATAACTACTTAATATAATGATATATATCATATGGTGCCCGTTTGGCAACTTGATTTTTTTTTAGTAGCTTTTTGGCTTTTTATGAGGTGAAAAAAAGTTAGTGTATTTGGAATATTTTTTTAGTTGAATAGATAGTTGAGAGGAAAAAAGTGATCGATATGTATGATGCGATATTTTGACTTTTTTGAGGTTTTTTGGCTTTTTTAACCAAAAAGTTGGCTGCCAAACAGGGCATGGTAGCAGAATCCATAGCTTGACTTGCCATAAAGAGTTCAGTCTTCACTATAGAGATCATGCCACTAGCAAATATACGGTTTATACCAATAAGATTGAGCTACTGGTTCTAAGTGAATAAATTCACGGGCAAGATGAATTTTTCAAAAAAAAAAAGGAAGAAAGCAAGGAAAGGAAAAAAATAAAATTAATCAATAAACTTCAATATAACAGAATGATTCGAAATAGACAAAAATGAGGGAGACTTCGAGTAGCTCCCCCTCATATTGTTCAATAAAAGTTTCTTGTAAGCCACCTCTCTACAAACACTCTTAACTAAAATTTGAAAAACAGGACTTACCTATTAAAGAGCAAAATCAATATGATCTCTCAACTAAAAAGTCATGGGACCTAATTATACTGAAAAATCTATCAACAGGACTTAAAAACCCCAAATTATTATGCATAACAAACACTTATATGACCATGTTTTGATACTCAAAGACACCCAAAATATCAGATCCCTATAAAGCATAGAATCAACAATTTCAGTCACTGTATCACAAAAATCAACAAATTCATTTGAACCAATCAATCAGCCTCCAACTCATCCATATCCACTCAATTATTATTATTTTGCGCGGTTCCACTCAATTACTTAGAATAACAACTCGAACCCAATTACTTATTCCAAAAATATGTATTAAAAATAAACACCCAATAACATGTCGAAGCATCAATTATCAAAACAACCGATCAAATAACCAAGATCTGGCAAAACAAACGCAGACCCAGATGAAATATGACAATAATCCATAAGAAAAACCAGAGAAATTGATGAAATAAGAGGATTTTAATGAGTGAATTCAACAAGAGAGAGAGAGAGAGACCTTGCAAGGCCTGTTCTTGATGACTATGTAGCCATTTTTGCGGATTGTTCCAGCTTGCTGTGGGTAGGTCTTGGAAGCCCCTGCGTCGGCCTTTGACTCGAAGTGATGCTCTTCATCCGACATCTCTCTCTCTCTCTCTCTCTCTCTCTCAAAATCTCAAATTTTTTCTCTCTGAAAAGAAGGTTGAAGAAGAAGACTTTGAGGAAGAAAGAAACACTCTTTGTGTGTGTCTCTCTCTCTCTCTCTCTCTCTCACAGTATAAAAGAGGAATGATTCAGTCCACGGATTGTTGGATCAATGATTCTGCCTACTTATCACTAAGTTAGAAAATAATTCAGTCAGAGGACTGTGACATTGTGAAATTAAAGTAACTATGCCAAGACACGTGGGAAAAAAAATGTTTATCCAAATTTTTTGAGTTTACGTGGCAATTAGGTATTTGACAGTGATAAGAATTTTTTATTAAATTTTAAATAGTGTTGGATTTACTGAAATTAAAGGGAATGTAAGATCAAAAATTTTGTTCCCAATAAATATAACAACAATATTAGGTGACCCGAAAAAACATGATTTGAATGGTTCAAAATATTCAAAACGACGTCGTTTTGACACATTCGAATTATTCGAGTCACAAAAATTCGGACTACTAAACATTTTTTTAAATATAATTATCATTTGTCATTATAAAATAACTATCATTCTATAAGAAAATCAAAGAATGGTCGTTCCATTACATTTAATCTCATTTCAGTTAATCAAATACAATATAAGAGTTTGACTTGATAGTTAAAATTTGGGACTTGGGAGTTTGGCCACAAGTTCGACTTCCCTTACTCATTAAACTCTTGGAACCATTAAGACCATCTCCAACAGTGAATCAAACCTGGCATCAAATTTAAAATTTGGTGAAAAAGTCACTTTTTTAAGCTCCAACGGTTTCACCAAATCGATATCAAATCCAGAATTCAGCAAAAATGGTACCAAACTGAGTGCAGGCGAAGCATTTCACCAAATCACTGTTCCTAACCGTTGGGATGAGACGAACGATTTTATTTTTTTATAAAAATTCTTATAAAGATATTTATAATTTTTTAAATCATAAAAATTTACCATGTATTTGTAATTTATTTTTTTGTTTATGTAGATGGCGGAATGCGATATGATACGGATTGTTGGATCAATGATTCTGCCTACTTAAGTTGGAAAATAATTCAGTCAGAGGACTGTGACATTGTGAAATTAAAGTAACTATGCCAAGACACGTGGGAAAAAAAAATGTTTATCCAATTTTTTTGAGTTTACGTGGCAATTAGGTATTTGACAGTGATAAGAATTTTTTATTAAATTTTAAATAGTGTTTGATTTACTGAAATTAAAGGGAATATAAGATCAAAAATTTTGTTCCCAATAAATATAACAACAATATTAGGGGATCTGAAAAAATATGACTTGAATGGTTCAAAACATTCAAAACGATGTCGTTTTAACACATTCGAGTCATTCAAATCACAAAAATTTGAACTACCAAATATTTTTTCTAAATATAATTATCATTTGCCATTATAAAATAACTATCATTCTATAAGAAAATCAAAAGAATGGTCGTTCCATTACATTTAATCTCATTTCAATGAATCAAATACAATATAAGAGTTTGACTTGATAGTTAAAATTTGGGACTTGAGAGATTGGCCACAAGTTCGACTTCCCTTACTCATTAAACTCTTGGAACCATTAATAAATAACAAACCTATTTTAGAAGGTTTATTCGGACAGTAAAAATTTAGGGTTCTTTTGAGAAGAGTTAAAAATACAAAAATTAACTTTAAACTATTTTTGATCATATTATTTCTTACATTTTTTACATATTTTTTTAAATAAACTTTAAAAAAAATTAACTTTTAATTATTTTTTCAAAATAGCCGTTAGTCCGATTTGCACAAGCACACCCGTGATACCACACATATTGACCTAAAAATAAAAAATAAAAAAAATGGTACTAAACTGGTTGGTTTTATCAGCCATGAATTTTGGACGGTTCACGTGTGTTCTAAGAAAAATAAGGAAAGGAATTGGATGCCATAGTGAAAAGAGAGGCATGGGTGATGGGCCCATGGGCTTTATTATTAGGTGTTGTTTTTAAATTGATTTTTTTAATAATTTTTTAAGATTAGTATATTTAAAAATATGTTTTTAGTTGTATTAAAAAATAATAAATTATTGAGATGTATAAATTTATTTTAGTGACTTTAGGGTTTTTTGTTGACTTTGTTTTATCCAAAAAATTAATTTGTCAAATAGGGCTTATATTTGTCTTTTTTTTCTTATGCTGGAGTATGTTTGGAGAGTTTTTTTTTGAGACTTTTAAATTTTTTTATGAAATGAAAACAATAAGCATGTTAGGATAATCTTTTTAGTTGAATAAATGTTTGTAAGGAAAAAACAAAAAAGTGATGAATTGATATGTAAGATGTGTATTTTGACATTTTGATTTTTGGGAAAATTACAAATCATGTTACGATTTTCAAAAAAAATAAATAAATTAAATCAATGGAAACATTTATAGATATTAATAATTAAATTCATTAATTTGTAAATATTTTATAAAAATTCCACCAATGTGTAATTTCTCCTTATTTTTTTGGTAAATTTTGACTATTTTAATAACAAAAAAAACCTTTACCCCAAACGGGCCTTAATATGTTAAAAAATCATTTTACCATTTTTCATATATTAAAAAAATTGAAATAAATATTTTTTTCTTGAACTAGGCCAAAAAAGTAGACTTATTTTAACCCAAAAAAAAAAACTTTATTTCTGTGACTCTGGTTTAAAATTTGACATTTTTTAAACTTATTTAGCTTGTTTGAGATGTGTGTTGGCTTTTTAGCTATATTAGTCTGGAGCTAAAAAGTCTCATTTAGGATAGACTTTTAGACTTTTTTGACTTTTGTAAGAGAAAAAATAAAATGATTATAGGTTGGATATGATATTTTATCCTATTTTGCTAAAATAGCCTATTTTATGACTAATTTTAGCCCAAATGTTCTTCCCAAAAAAGCTCATGTTAAGTGTTTTAAATTTTGAAATTTAGATTCGTTTAGTGTAGATGCTCCAAAAAAAAAAAAAAGTAATAAGAAAAATAAAATGTGATCCAAAATTAAAATAAATTTACTAAAGATTAAAGTAAGCTAGAAAGTTAGTTAAAAAAGCAAATTCTCAAAGATAAAGTCAGTAACATGGTTTTAAAAACCGGACCGGACCGGCCGGTTCAACCGGTTGAACCGCCGACCGGTCAAGGTTCCGGTCCGGGTATACCCATAGAACCGGTCGCAGTGAAAAACCGGCCTATTTTGGGAGAACCGGGAAAACTGGCGGTTGGACCGGTGAACCGGTCGACCCGGTTCCGGTTTTCCGGGTTGATAAAAACGAAATTTTGAATTTTTTTTTCTTTTTTTTATTCTTTCTTTCTTTTCTCTTTCTTTCTTATATTATATATATATAATAAAAATTTAATTGGAAACTCTCTTTTAAGGGTCTCCTCTTGTGAGGAATCCCATTGAGAGCTTGAAATTATTGTGAAAGCCTCTATCTATTTATAAGAAAAAAATTCTTCCAAAAAAACTCAAGAAATCTATGTGGGATTCAATCAAATCTATTGGAGGGAAACTTAAAGTTTTGATATCCCTCCAAAATTTTTGCTCTTCTTTCAATCAAATTATTTGAATTAAAATCATATGGAGGGAATATTGAATATTGAATATTTGATTTCTTCTTCCAAAATTAAAATTAATAATATTTTTAAATATATTTTTATATTTTTTAATAAAAAAAATATTAAGAGAAATATTTAAGATTATTAAAATTTTTAATTTATAATTTTATTACTTAAATTTTTATTTAAATATAAATTTTAATATATTTATGACGTCATGGTTGGATTTCGGTTCAACTGTCGAGTTGAACTGGTGACTCGTTCACCCAATCTCTTTTCTAGTTTGCTCACTCGTCCAATTTTTAAAACATTACTCTACAATCACACTAAGAAAAAAAAAATACTCTAAAGGATCTTGACTCAGAGTGGATGGTAGCTTTGAGATTTGTAAAGTTTATTATTAATCCTATCTTGACAATTTAAATTATTTATTTTCTTAGACTTTGTATATTAATTATTTATAAAATAATTAATTAAATTTAATATTTTTAACTATATAATTTCAATATATTTATTTTTCAAAAATAAACAAAAAAATTAAAATTAATATATGTATATAAGAAAAGAAAAAAAAGAATTTGCGTGATGATCCTTTTATGCTCAAACTTGTGCCATTGGTTTTTTTTTTTGATCGGCAACAAGAAGACTTTATTTTTTTTTTGATCGGCAAAGTAAAAATTTCATTAACAACATGAAATTAAAGGTACAGGAAA